CTCACCGGGGCTTCGAGACCTCGCCTTGAGAGCGAGGCCGGTAGTGCGCCCGGCGGTCGAGTATCGGGAGAATGCTTGAGCGCCATACCATTTTAAGGGCTAGTTGCTTCGGCAGGTGAGTTGTTACACACTCCTTAGCGGATTCCAACTTCCATGGCCACCGTCCTGCTGTCTATAGCAACCAACGCCTTTCAATGGGATCTGAATGAGCATTCATTTAGGCCCCTTAACTCGACGTTTGGTTCATCCCACAGCGCCAGTTCTGCTTATCAAAAGTGGCCCACTAGATACTCAGATTAGTCGCCGGAGCTTCATCCCTACAAGCAAGCTCGGCATCTCACCCATTTAAAGTTTGAGAATAGGTTGAGGACGTTTCGTCCCCAAGACCTCTAATCATTCGCTTTACCGGATGAAATTCACCCCGCGAGTTCCAGCTATCCTGAGGGAAACTTCGGAGGGAACCAGCTACTAGATGATTCGATTAGTCTTTCGCCCCTATACCCAGCTCCGACGATCGATTTGCACGTCAGAATCGCTACGGACCTCCACCAGAGTTTCCTCTGGCTTCATCCTGGCCAGGCATAGTTCACCATCTTTCGGGTCCCAACATATATGCTCATGGTACTTGCCGACTGCCCGCGAGCCTGCCCCGGTGCGCCTCCGCCGTTTACCGACGGCCCGCTTCCGGGGACGGACAGCACCGCTGCGTCTTGGCAAGTCCCGGGCCTGCGCCCCCCCCTCCCATGAGGGAAATTAAACTTCGACCATCGCCCTGACGACCTCACCACACGCAACGTCCAGAGACGGGGAAGTATCTCACCCCGCTTGTCGCGGGCGTGGGCGGAGGCCGCAGGCAGCCGGGTCAGGATTTGCCTAAGACGACCGGAGAGCTCTGTTAGTAATGCCTCGGCGCCCGCTACTTTCATTTCGCTTTGGGGTTTAGTATGAGCCCATTGACTGCACACATGTTAGACTCCTTGGTCCGTGTTTCTCAAGACGGGTCGGTGGATCACCGACCTTTTGCACACCGCGAAGAAACTGTCAGCCGAAGCGGCGGCAAGCCTTTTTTCTCGACGACCGTCGCAGGCAGCCAGGACACCGGTGGTTCCCCTGCCGCTGCTGGTCTCCCCCAGACGAGCTGGAGGGTGAGAGTCGGCGCGAGGCTCAGTCCGACCGGCTTTCGATTCCCTGGCAATTTGCAGTGACCGCCACGAGAGTGAATACGCCGACGCCAGCGTGAGGGGGCGCCAGCTTCAAACATTTTTGGGTCAGCTTCAATTACAACACCCACCCAGCCGATAGCCGGCGAGCTGAATCTCAGTTCGACCTTCGCTTCTACCCGCTTGGTCGAACGTTTCACGACTTGAATCCTCTCTTCAAAAGTTCTTCAACTTTCCTCACGTACTTGTTCGCTATCGGTCTCGTGGTCATATTTAGCCTTAGATGGAGTTTACCACCTGTTTGGGCTGCACTACAACCCGACTCTACAGAGAGGCCCTTTCCGACCGTCCCATCTGTACCCTCACGGGCGCCGCCATACGGGCCTGTCACCCTCCATGGGCAGTGGCCGCTTTCAAGCTTGACTTAGACGGTATGGGACGGCGTGCTGGACCCTCTGAAACGTAACACCCCTCGTGCCCGAAGACATCGAGGTTATGCGCTGGGCTTTTCCCGGTTCAGTCGCCCTTACTAAGGGAATCCCTGTTGGTTTCTTTTCCTCCGCTTATTAATATGCTTAAATTTGGCGGGTAGCTCTCTCCTACTACGAGGTCGATCGTGGTCTCATCATCCTTAGGGGGAACAAGTTCCCCAACCACGAAGCGGAAGACGCTCTGCCACCGACTTTCTTCACCACCGACATTACCAGGCAGGAAGGTTTGAGGGGCTTGTCGCGGGGTACCAGCGGCCATGGCGCCGGCACTCCCACCCCTGACTCCGTTCCTTCTCATTGAGTGGTAAATAGCCAATAGGAAAAGTGTTCCAGCAGAACATCTCTCGCAGAGTCATATACACACACAGTTTTAATGCATATACGCTCGTGTTCCGCCCTTACTCGGCCGCACCTTTGCCGCTTAAACGTTGACCTCTTTCCCCGTTCCCGCATGCCACAGCAGTGGCACTTGTTTATCCGGAGAAAGAGAGCGAGAGTCGCAGTATTAATTGGCGTGAGCGGCCTTTCCGGCTGCAGAACTAGTGCTCTATCCCGGCGAGCGCCGTTATGAGGCGCAACACCGTCTTTAACGCGTTTAGAGAGAACTCCCCCTGCCTCCCTCCCAGTCATGAGATAGACGGGGACTCGTGGCGAACTCTCAAAGAGAACGCCCACACCGCGTCTGACCGTGGGAGAGGGTGGAGGAGCGCGTGAGGAAGAGCACGGCGTCACCCAAGCATTCTCATCTCTCTGCCTGCACCACTACATGGTAGACTGCGGGCCCAGGCGCACTCATCAATTTAGGTTCCACTGCAATGCATGCCAAGCACTTTTTTCGAGGTGATAGACGAAATTCCGGCGGGGCTTACTTAAAAGATATCCGACCCGGTTTCGTTTCCTCTTCGTGGGATGGAGTGCCTCTTAGAACATGTGCAGCATCAGCCATGAGCGGCCGACGGCCATTCGTGTCTCTGTGGACAGCAGGCAAAAGAGCGCCGCCTCCAGTTATTTGCGAGGGCGACAACTGTCGCTTTGTTGTGGTTGAATGTGGGTGCGCCAAGTCCATGGATTTGCTAGTGATAGGCTTGC